GGATTGTAGCAGCCGCCCGACGGGGAAACAGTTACTCCTAGACAGTTTAATCCCCACCCCCGCCCCTCCCCCTGTCATTTTCACCTCTGGCTCTGTCTCCTCTTCTACACAGTCGCTTGGCCCCCGCCATCATCACCAATCCATCGCAAGCCACGTCCCATCTCACAAATCCAACGAAAAGTTCCCTCCTCCTACAGCAACTAGGCACGCAAGCATAGAAATAACGCTCTTTAAGCTAAAAGAGCTCCAAAGGGAAACGATTGACACGGTAAACCTGCGCGCGGCTATCATGGGAGCTACCCAAAGTTCCCCTTCCTTACCACTGTCCTCCCCAAGCGCTAAACGCAAAATTCTTGGGAATTACAATTGACGATAGTCACTCTCGGATCTCCCATATCAGTGTCATCAAAAAGAAAGCTTACAATGAGCTTAATTTCCTTAAATTCCAAGCAGGTACAAACAAATGTAATTCGGAAATCATCCTGATGCTGTACTGTTCATTACACATGCGTTTGCAGTCTGGGCTCATGGTGTGGATTCCCAAATAGACCAACTTTCCAGAATAGAATATTCCCTAATTAAATATGCTTCCCGCCACCCTAGATGGACGCGCAACGAATTCTTCCATGAATTTGTTGACTTTCCTCCCCGTCCTATTTATGCTTCCATGTTGGGGCATGGCTACTATAATGCCAGAAGAAGCCGACCTCCCTAACCAGTAGAACATATATAGAAATCGAATCCGTCTAAGGAAAGCACGTGTTTTCTCTATCTCTAGCATAACCGCTCGTTTGGAAGCATGCAGTTAACACTACGATCATCGATTACTCGACGAGACAACTGACATTTCCAGCGCAAGTGATTTATACCCGTACAGCAAAAGTACATACTCCCAAAACTCTCTCTCTCTCTCTCTCTCTCTCTTAAAAAAAAAAAGGGCTTGGAATCATCCTCGACTTTCTTCCCAGAGCAATGCACGACCCCTTTCTCTAAACCTAATATTCTCTAATATCCTCTAATATTCTTAGCATTGTCCCTAAACTAAATCTATCGTCTAATTATGATCTCTCTACAGGTCCCAACAACCTCAACTTCATCACCACCCAGCCCCGCTAACATAGTAACTCCTGATTTTGACTAACGTACTCCAAAACAGTAAATTAATCACTGGGCGGACCAAACTGGGTCTAAATGTCAAAGTAAAAGGAATTGGGCACCCGAAAAGGATTTTAAATTCTTCTCACGATTTTCCAGCTCCTGCCTTGACGGAAACAGCCCAAGCTATATTTGATACATTGACTGGACCCAGAGCATCATAATTTAGGACCACTAAAAGAAACAAGGCACTTGAAGTCAGTTTTTTTTTTTCAATAATGCTCGTTACCACGTAATACCACGTGGGGATCACAGGGCGAAAAAAAAAAAAAGAGCTTAGGTCAGGTTTGCGCAATGGAAATACTGTAGCCGATGAGGTTAATTCGAGGCGCAGTTATTGCTAGTTGAAAACTAATCCCAATACCCCGTCTGGACGACGTGAAATACCGTCGGCAAAGGCAATTTTTGATAGTCCTTACAGAGGGCTTCACTACTCTTATAAACCCTTCCACTGCCGCTGCTGAGTAAAGTCGTTTTCCCTCAACACTTTATCTGCGCGAGTATCCAATGGCGCTTTTCCCACGGCGATCGAGAAAACTCGAAGTCGTGCCACCTTAAGGGTTTGTGCTCGCATACTCGATCTCAGAACATTGCACGAAAAAAAAAAATATTTATTTTCCCACAAATATTCTGTCGCAACGCGACGAGAATGGGGCCGAGAGCTTCACAGAGCTTTGGACTTACCGATGATGCGAGATGAAGCGGATCCGACAAGTCCAAGAGGAGTTTCAGAGCGAACAAACGCGTGATATATTTTTTTTTACGTTTAAAATTAATTTTTAAAATAACGAGACAGAACGGGATCATCATGTAGTTATACGAGTTCCATTAACTTTGTCCCTTGGGATTCCCTGGTCTCACCGGCAGACGCTGAATCTTGCTCCTTTCAAAGTTAAAGGTGGCAGGCGAAAATCCATTTGTATTGTTGACCCTTTCGCCGCTGAGACTTTTAGTGAGCGGCAGCGTACATGGCGGAGGGATTATTTTCGAGTGATTAGGTCATATCGCGGGCAAAGTTCATACGGTATATCAGTATAGAGATAAACATGTTCGTCGTGCTATCTTCTGAGTCCGAGGTATGCAAGATTGCCTCTCTCTTGGCATGACTTCCTGGCATCGAGTTTTCTCGATCGCCGCGGGAAAAGGGTCATTCCGAACTCGCTCTGAGTAAATGTTGAAGGCGAACTCTCGAGAGCTGGGGCGAGCGGGTTATAATGAGAAGCGAAGCCCTCAGAAAGGACCATCAGAAATTGCCTTTGCCGACGGTATTTCACGTCGTCCAGGCGGGGTATTGGGATTAGTTTTCAACTAGCAATAACTGCGCCTCGGTAGAACCTCATCGGCTACAGTATTGCCACTGCGCAAGGCTAAGCTAGACCTGCCACGGCTCACTCCCTATTCTCTCTTGCCTTTCGCCACGGGTCAACACGCAACCGTTTTTTCTCATTCATTCGGTCGAGTCTTCCGGAAACAACAGATTTGTGCATTGCCTCCAAAGGAGCATAATCTTCGGTACGGGGAATTCATGCATTACTTTCAGGAAACGTTAGCATGGGATGTAAATGTGAAAGGAAACGTAGATCGAGTGTGGGAGACGCGAGCGTGCTGCCACCTAGGTAATCTCTTGGGAACTTCCTCATGTGCTGCTCCTGCCTTCGTCGTGCGGCGACCTCCAGCTAAATTCCAGCTCACGTTTACGCAGCGCGTTAGACAGCGCATTGGCAGTCCTGCTCTTTCGCTAATTTGTTTGGGATTCTCGGTGATGTGGCCATGTGCTTTTCTCCCGTTCCTCGTGGGATCGAGGACGGGAACGGACGGGATCGAGGTTCCCATGCTTAGTTTCGTCGTTCGACGTGCATTCTCATTCGGTATGTGCAGATGCGTTCATTCACACCAGAAGAACGCGCTTGCCTCGTCTCTCAGGTGTCGGTTTCATTCGATGAAAAACTTCACTTTCATTATATAAAATTACGCGAATTTCTCTTCAGTTGTCCTTTTTTTTACCGACCTCAGGCGAGTTAGAGATTTTTTAGGAACGCATCCTCAGGACCGAATCCCTGGCAAAGAATTAGCGTCAGTCACTCGCGAGCTCTTATGCATAACTTATTAGGTGATAGACGGAAATGGTCCTACTTACTCGATACGACAAAATGGAAAAATTTGGGTTTCTCTTTTTTTTTCTGTTTTCTGGAATGGTCAAACGCGAGAAGAAATGCAATCGTTGACGTCCGGGCGAGTGTTAAGCTGGATTATCATGCAAAAATTGAAGTCTTCAGCCTTTTAAGAAATCGTCGGTTAAGCGTATAAATTTGGGATAACCCCCCCCCCCCCGTAAATTAACGAACACTGATATTTGTGTTGCATTCCTGGAACCCATCGGGCGAATTTCCCGCCGCGAAACAAAGGTTGAAAGCATGATGGCAATGGCTGACCCGTGTACTTTCACTCGGGCATGCGCGAAATAGGACATTTTCGCTTTCCACTCCATTCTTGCTAGTTTCTTTTATGAGCAGGTTTTTTTTTTTTGGAGCATAAATCACCTAAATGGCTATGAATTACGCAGTCGTCCGAGTCGGATGCCAATTTCCACGTGCAAATGACTTGCGGCCGTTCTTTGGATCTGGCGACGTCGAAACGCACCTGCGATCGCGTCTGACGTCGCGGAACTCCGATGAGATCGGCGCGAAACGACCGGGTTCGCGACGCGACGCCACTTTTAAGCTCGGACGAACGGAATCGCCAAGTTCGTCTGCGAATGCGTGCGTGGAGGAAACGATGTGGAATTCCAAATAACGGTTGGCCGAAGCAGAGAGTTCGAGAAAGGAAACGCATCGCAAAAGAAATAAAGAAAATTGAAAGGAAAAAAAAAGAGAAAATTGGAGCTCCGTTGGATCCACATTGTCACGTACGGTACAGCTAAGTACCAATTAGGAAGGGAGCGACGGATCCCTTGAGCAGCGAACGGTGGAGCCAGCTGATATCCCCGAGGGTCATCGTCCTCATTTGCATTCATGCGGAGCATCCCGCTCGGAGAGGCCCGCGGCGACATGGGGTCGTCCGCGGCGACATGGGGCAGTCCGCGTCGCCTCGACGGCGAAAATGAGCGTTGCGGACGCTCTTGCTCGCTCGTGACGGAAAATCGGTAGCTTCTCTTTCGCGGAAGTCACTCGACTCTCTGGAATTTTTCAAATTTTTTCAGGAAACACATGGGCATCGCATCACGACGGTCGCCCGCGTGTTGCCCTGGCAAGTACGACATTCCAGCCCGAATCGGTAGACGAGACCAGGCCGACCGATGGGAACGGAAACATCCCGGAGATAAATCCAGCATCATTTTCCTCACGCACGCACGCAGGCACGCACGCACAGAGTTCCAAATATCCGAAACCGCTCGTCCCAACCAAACGGGCTCGCGCCTCGAGCACCCTCACTCTTCTTTTTTTTTCGGCTTTTCGAAAATGTCGCAGAAAATCTTATCGTGCGAATCGAAACAGAAAGAGTTGCATGCCTTTTAGCGGTAAATCTTTTACGAACTAATTACTGAAACTTATTCAGGTAAAGGTAAGTCGCTTAGCATACTTATTGTTTTAAACAAACTCACTTCATTCATTTGGCTTCATGCTCTTTCATGGTGCTTCCACAAACTGGGCATTCATGGGGCAATATTTTTTTCGTTCAAATAGAATTTTTGCCGCAGGAGAAAGCTTCGACATAGTGAAAACCGACCTCAATAAAGTACATATACCTTCCTTGCATTCCCCTCAACTTTCGAACTCACCCAATTCGCCTCTTCTCCGAAACGAGAAGCAAATGAAACGGCAATCCCCAGACGGATCCAGAGTTACTAGGAAACGGGACATTTATTGCTTGAGATTTAGACTCAACGAGGAATGGCGTAAGAATGGCCGTAAGCGTTGTGAATCTGCAAGGTGACCGGGTCGGTGACGGTCCACTCGTACCAGACGTGCCGGGCCCCGACCACGCGCCAGAAGTGCACCTCCAGCTTGTCCCCCTTTCCCACTGCCACGGGCTCCTGTGCATGCAACAGGCAAAGATGTTTCACACTCAAACGGGGAAGGGTCGACGATGTTGCCGAAGGGTTATTTAATCAAATTCGTGTCGGTGCCATTTGGACTGTGTGAAGAGCATCTGTAATATCCAGGAATATAACAAAAAAAGTAATCCACAGAAAAATCGATGCATTAAAAACTGCGACTGGACTTGAGCCTTAGGACCAAGAGGGGTGGGGTAAAGCTACGTCACCACCTAGATAGAATTAGTTCTAGTTTTTTTTTGCATTTGAAAATTGGTATTAACAAAAATGCTTTTCTTATTCATGCCTCAGTGTGCCAGTTTAGAACTTTGCCAAATTTTGAAAGCAGCAGCCCCACGAGGGAGGGAAAGGTAGCCCAACGATTGGCAATGGCAACTCAATAGGCTCAGGCATCGAGTCCACATCCGAGTTCCCTCCAAAGATTCATGGCCAAGCCTACCTATGTCAATTCAATCTATCCCCACAAACACCACATTCGGGCATCACCAGCCCACGGATCGAGACATCCCGAAGCTAGGATTCATGAATATAATTTCTTCTGTCCTTTCCCCTTTGCTCATATTGGCATAAAATATTAATATCCCTATATCTAGCTTTTGTTGAGACACACTAAAAGAAATGTGAGAGGGGGGGTCAAAAAAATAGGAAAGAAAGAACAAATCACAGTGAAGAGAATTGTGATGCAACCTATAACTTAGGCCATGACAATTTCATTAAACTACATTGTAGTTAATAGTAGTCATACTTAAATATCTTTGAATGTAAACCCTCCTTCTGCGGACGTGGTAAGAGCTGGTCTTGCCCTTATATAGCTAATTCCAATGGTGCCAAATTGTAGACTATGGCATCACGCCCAGTTGTTCATTTTATCAGTACGAGAAGAGAAAAAATCTTTTTTTTATCCTCCACCCAGGGTTCCAGAAAGAATGAAGAAAGCAGTGTAGTCAAAGAGAGAAATTTATGAAGATTAAATTACACGAAAAGGGAATTCCTTCAAAACAAGAATCTCTCGGGAGAATTCCTCGAGCCGGCGCCCACGGCCGAGGAGCGGAGGCTCCCGTCGAGGCATCGAGGTCTCACCGGTTTGCCTCGTGCCTCAGCTGCAGCATGTAACGAACACTAAGTAGTGCAGATGGAAATCATGAAATCTCAGGGATGGCATCGATGGAATTTCTAATCGACCGCGGAGGAAAATCGACGAGATACGAGTCGATTCGACGTTTCCAAAGGTCTGTGATACACAGTTCACTCAAAACTTGAAATACAATCCAGAAAAGTTTATCCTCATGAATTGCAAGCAAGATCACTGATTTGGGTACTAAATCACCACTGAATGTCTCCAAGAACAGGTTGCAAACATAAAAAAAAGATATATAAACCAGGTACATAATTTGGCCTGAAGAGGGGATTGGGCTAATTTCACTGTCATCCAGAACAATAGGAAATCATCTCAATTCTAAGCAATTAATTTCCTTACTCAAAACATGACATAACACAATTTGATAAAAAGTCTATTTTCAACATGAACTTAACCAAGAGAGAGGAAAATCATGAATATGGTGACATGGGTAAAATACATCCAGACAGAAATCTTTCAAAATGATGACCATTACATATTTTAACATCTTTAGGATTCTTACCAAACACCAAAATTAGGAGCAGGTTACGAGACACCCAATTCCCTGGCACTTCTTTATTTACTTAACCCTAAAAGCAGCAAGATTAAACCCCATGACGGGCGAACCGGCGATCGAACGGCTGTTACCGCTTCTACGGTCGAAGAAACAAATTAAGGATCCAAGAGATGAATGACCTTGATGGGAAAGAAGATGGGGAACCAGGAGAACATCCCAGGGGAGTGAGTCTCGGGGACGATGCTCATGTGGACGTCCTTATACAGGACGGAGTGGAAATAGCCCGCAAAGCCGTGCAGCATTCCGGCCTCCTTCATCTCGAACTCCAGTTTTTCGTAGCGACTGTTGTCAATCTCTGCGGCTACAGAATCGACATTTTTTGTCACCCTCACAAGATCACATGGCCAAACTTGCTCCACTTTCATAAAAGCAAGTGAAACACACAATAATCTAAATGAAATGTATAGTGGACATAAATATAGAAAAATCTATGGAAAAAAAGTGATTAACACCTAGCAGTGACACCTTCCATCTAAAACTACTACAACTGAATCTAATTGATTCAAATTACCTCCACTGGGTAAATTCAAAGAATGGAACAATCTCAACATTAAAGCTTATTTTTAGAGAGGAATATACAGCATTGATGCTTGGTGAAAGGTAACTGAGCTTCTTCTACCATCTTCAATGAGAAAGTGAACTTCAGCTTTCAGCACAATGCCACAGGGAGTCTGATAATAGCTGATTTTTCTTTTATTTTGGGCAACTTTACTACTTTTACCTCAGAGAAAATGCAAGACAGATTTCAAATTACACATTTTGAATTTTCCAAGCTATTATCCAAAACTTTAACAAAAAATACCATATCACACTTTACTGGATCCACCAAGCCTCAAGAAATGCTTTAAAGCAAAATATATAATCTAAAAATATTTAAGAATTAGTGCTGAATTCACATTCACATGCAAATCACTGCAGACATGGACATGCCGCAGCAGACATGGAGGAAAACAAAAAGGACGTGCAGGAACAGGACCGACCTCGGTTGGGATGCTCAAATGAGAACAGGGGGAGTGGGGCAGCCAAGGACACATAATTACGAAGGTGGACCACATATGGTGTGTGAAACTNAACAAAAAAAGTAATCCACAGAAAAATCGATGCATTAAAAACTGCGACTGGACTTGAGCCTTAGGACCAAGAGGGGTGGGGTAAAGCTACGTCACCACCTAGATAGAATTAGTTCTAGTTTTTTTTTGCATTTGAAAATTGGTATTAACAAAAATGCTTTTCTTATTCATGCCTCAGTGTGCCAGTTTAGAACTTTGCCAAATTTTGAAAGCAGCAGCCCCACGAGGGAGGGAAAGGTAGCCCAACGATTGGCAATGGCAACTCAATAGGCTCAGGCATCGAGTCCACATCCGAGTTCCCTCCAAAGATTCATGGCCAAGCCTACCTATGTCAATTCAATCTATCCCCACAAACACCACATTCGGGCATCACCAGCCCACGGATCGAGACATCCCGAAGCTAGGATTCATGAATATAATTTCTTCTGTCCTTTCCCCTTTGCTCATATTGGCATAAAATATTAATATCCCTATATCTAGCTTTTGTTGAGACACACTAAAAGAAATGTGGGGGGGGGGGGGGCAAAAAAATAGGAAAGAAAGAACAAACCACAGTGAAGAGAATTGTGATGCAACCTATAACTTAGGCCCTGACAATTTCATTAAACTACATTGTAGTTAATAGTAGTCATACTTAAATATCTTTGAATGTAAACCTTCTTTCTGCTGACATGGTAAGAGCTGGCCTTGCCCTTATATAGCTAATTCCAATGGTGCCAAATTGTAGACTATGGGATCACGCCCAGTTGTTCATTTTATCAGTACGAGAAGAAAAAAGATCTTTTTTTATCCTCCACCCAGGGTATCGCCCAGAGTTCCAGAAAGAATGAAGAAAGCAGTGTAGTCAAAGAGAGAAATTTATGAAGGTTAAATTACATGAAAAGGGAATTCCTTCAAAACAAGAATCTCTCGGGAGAATTCCCAAAGCCGGCAACGCCACGGGCGCACGCGACCGAGGAGCGGAGGCTCCCGTCGCGGCATCGAGGTCTCACTGGTTTTGCCTTGTGCCTCAGCTGCAGCATGTAATGAACAATAAGTATTGCAGAAGGAAATCATGAAATCTCAGGGATGGCATTAATGGAATTTCTAATCGACCGTGGAGGAAAATCAACGAGATACGAGTCGATTCGAAGTTTCCAAGGGTCTGTGATACACGGTTCACTCAAAACTTGAAATACAATCTAGAAAAGTTTATCCTCATGAATTGCAAGCAAGATCACTGATTTGGGTACTAAATCACTGCGGAATGTCTCCAAGAACAGGCTGCCAAATATAAAAAAATATATAAACCAGGTACATAATTTGGCCTGAAGAGGGATTGGGCTAATTTCACTGTCATCCAGAACAATAGGAAATGATCTGAACTCTAAGCAATTAATTTCCTTACTCAAAACGTGACATAACAAAATTTGAGTAAAAGTCTATTTTCAACATGAACAAAATCATCCAAGAGAGAACAAAATCATGAATATGGTGACATGGGTAAAATAAATCCAGACAGAAATCATTCAAAATGATGACCATTACATATTTTAACATCTGAAGGATACTTACCAAACACCAAAATTAGGGGCAGGTTAAGAGAAACCCAATTCCCTGGCACTTCTTTATTTACTTAACCCTAAAAAGCAGCAAGATTAAACTCCATGATGGGCGAACCGTCGATCGAACGGCAGTTGCCACTTCTAGGGTTGAAGAAACAACTTAAGGATCCAAGAGATGAATGACCTTGATGGGAAAGAAGATGGGGAACCAGGAGAACATCCCGGGGGAGTGAGTCTCGGGGACGATGCTCATGTGGACGTCCTTATACAGGACGGAGTGGAAATAGCCCGCAAAGCCGTGCAGCATTCCGGCCTCCTTCATCTCGAACTCCAGCTTCTCGTAGCGACTGTTGTCGATCTCTGCGGCTACAGATCAACATTCTTTCGTCACCCTCACAAGATCACACGGCCAAACTTGCTCCACTTTCGTAAAAGCAAGTGAAACACGCAATAATCAAAATGAAATGTATAGTGGACATAAATATAGAAAAATCTATGGAAAAAAAGTGATTAACACGTAGCAGTGACATCTTCCATCTAAAACTACTACAAGTGAATCTAATTTATTCAAATTACCTCCACTGGGTAAATTCAAAGAATGGAACAAACTCAACATTAAAAACTTATTTTTAAAGGGGAATAAACAACATTGATGCTTGGTGAAAGGTAACTGAGCTTCTTCTACCATCTTCAATGAGAAAGTGAACTTCAGCTTTCAGCACAATGCCACAGGGAGTCTGATAATAGCTAATTATTCTTTTATTTTGGGCAACTTTACTACTTTTACCTCTCAGAGAAAATGTAAGACAGATTTCAAATTACACATTTGGAATTTTCCAAGCTATTACATAAAACTTTAACAAAAAATACCATACCACACTTTATTGGATCCACCATCCAAGCCTCAAGAAATGCTTTAAAGCAAAATATATCATCTAAAAATATTTAGGAATTAGTGCTGAATTCACATTCACATGCAAATCACTGCACTTTCCTGGAACCACTCTCCATCTTAAAAAGAATCTAATTATCAATTATCTATTTGAGTTTAAAAAACATGTGTACTTTCTTCATCCATGAGCACAGCAGACATTGAGGAAAACAAAAAGGACGTGCAGGAACAGGACCGACCTCGGTTGGGATGCTCAAATGAGAACAGGGGGAGTGGGGCAGCCAAGGACACATAATTACGAAGGTGGACCACATATGGTGTGTGAAACTGAGATGGGGGTTGCGAACGGTCATGGTTCACGCGTTCGTTGGTGTCGATGCGGGCGACCTTCACCTCGCTGTAGACACGGTACGACGATATCGGGGCCAGATGAGACGTGTAGGAACTGGGGATGCTGACCCCATCATCTGAAAGGAAGAGGACATCACATTATCGACTCCATTGGTGAAGAATACACAGTGGAAGGCAATGGATTCCAATTTTGTAAGACTGAAAATAAAAGGAATACCAAACATATGAAAAAAAAAGCCAATGTTTCCCATGGTTTTCATATTTTCATGGCCACTTGGATATAACTTGAACCTGGAATCTCTATTCCAATAAAACATTAGCAATTACATCTATTTGACAATTTTATACTGGCATACAAAAAATTTTCAAAGTTCCAATCTTCCAAAGTACAGTGAAAAAAAGTATTGGAGTTTGCCAGTGCATTCTTCTCTTCCCACTTTCACATCCCAAAGCTATGACATCATACACTCTGCCACTCCCCTTATCTCTAAGCATGCCACATGGAATCTCCTGCATGCCACTTGCCTTTGAGGCAGTCATTGAGGGGATCGAGGCACTCAGGACTGAGTTCGTTGTCGCCGAAGGAGCCGAGGAGTTCGGAGACGACCAGGTCGGCCGGTTGCGGGGGCTTCCAGTATCGCATGTCTCCCGGAATCACCTCCACCTGCTCCTTCCACTCGTGTCGTTGCAGGTGCTGCAACCTGTATGATTCAGAGGATAGACCACACCTAGTGCTTTTGAACCTCACGATGAAGGGATCGAAGAGATGGAAATGGAGAATGCCAATCAAGCATCTGGACTTCCTTTAATGTCAAGTGCATTTATGAATGCACCAATTTATAAAAATTCACTGGATGTTTTTCATAATTAGCAGCTTTTGGTTCTTGCAGATAGATTGACAAGACAGAACCATAGTTAACCTTTCCATCAAATCATAACAGGAACACAAACATAAAAATATTCAAAACTAATAATAGCATCTTTGATAAAAACCTACTCATATTATTAGCAATGTTGAATAATGCAACAGGAAGGAACCCACGTGACAACTGCATTGGGATTCTTCTCGACGGCAAATACACGAATGGGACACTTGGCGATCTTGGATGCATTGAGGGCTGCTCGCACCAGAGGTCCGCGCCCCGCGCCGACCACCAACACCAACCTACAGAAAACCAAGACATACTAGCATGGAGACTCAAAACTTCAACACTTGATGCAGTTGAGAGCCCAGAAGGACGAGCTGCTTTGATAAAAACTCCACACATTTCAAGAAAAGTTCAACCCAGACAAGTGAACATTCCTGGAAACTCACAGGGGCTTATGATCACCCTTGTACTTCTCATGGAGAACTTTCCTGATGGCCTCCTGATAAAGTGAGTACTTCGTGGGATCCTTCTCAAAGGTCTCGTAAGTGGCACTCTCCAGATTGTCCGACAAGGGTGCCAAGGGACTCTGCAGATAGTCCTCATAACCCTTGGCAAATTGAGCCAAGGCATCTTCGGGAGGGCGAGTCTAACGAGATGATAAACCGTACATCACTCGAATGTAAAAGAATTGGATTGAGGTCTGCTATTAAATAAATTCATCCCTTTATCACGTAATGGGATATGATACACTACAACCAATTATTTTACATTTTAAGAGGCAAAAGAATCTCAAGATGTGCCATCATCATGCAGATGAGATCCATCACCATAAGTATATAATGATATTAGCAATCCCATTTTGCAACCCCAGTTGCAAAATAATAGGCTGAATCTACATGAAGAGATTGTTCAATACATCCATATAACTGCCCTGAGCTTTTTACATGCAAATCAGGTTACTCCCCCCCTTACACACATAAAGCAATGGGATTTTGAGACAAAGGCAGTGGCTAAGAAAGTGTTTCCAATAATGAAAATAAATTTCCATCAGTGGGGTACAGATCTGAAGCTCTAATTGGACATCAGATGTCACGTTTCAAGTGCAAAATATGTGTACAGACCTTATGGTCTTTACCCCAGATAACATTCTTCACCTTATCTCCCCTGAAGTCAGAATCATCAAAGTCTAACCATCACATGGAAAGGGCATTGGGAATATGGCATATGGCATTTGTTCATCTTCCTCAATAATGGAATCCAAGTGGTCCAAGGCTAATAGCAATCTAGTCACACAGAATTCATGAACTTCATTGTCATTTAAAATGAAGGGGAATTTATTATTCTAGAGCTGGGTAACACTGAATTTTCCATAAAAAGCCAGTGAGGGTCCAATGTTAAAAGATATTTGAATTTTAAAATACGAGTGAAAACTCCACTGGCTTGCAACAGTTCCAAAAGGGGTGAAAATAATAAAGTGACATGAGTGAATTTTGAACCACAAAGAGTAAAAGCTATGATGAAACAAGTTACAAAGGAAGCAGATTAGCTTTTGGGTAAAATCCTTCTTTAGGAAGAGGAAAACATAGGGAAAGCATGGCAGATCAATGACACTCAATTTTGATCCTTAATATTTGTTTTGGGGTTTGAATTATGAAGAGAGCCAGGTTACACTATATTAAAGTAAACCTTTAGAATTGTTGGTAAGTAAAATCTGTATTAAAAAAAAGGAAAAAAAAAGCATTGGGAATAACTATTCAATGGGTTCTTGGAATCTGCTTGCTTTTGGACTTAGGTTGCATGTTGCTGTGCTTAACCCACAAAATTTATTTTTGGTATGAATCCTCAAATAATATATCCATAACAGATGAGTGACTGACCTAGTGAACCTAGTGACAGAAGAGAGCTCACCTGCCAGAGATAAGTGATGTACTGCTGATAGAAACGAAGGTGAGAATGACGGCCGAATCCCCGGATGATGACCTGGGCGTCCAGGCAGAGCAGACGACGGATGAGGGCCTGATGCGCCTGGCTTAGGACGGGAAATCCCTTCTGATTGGTCAGGAACACCTTGGTGGAGACGAACACACAACGGATGGGTTCCCCGAGCCAACGGTTGATGGCCTCGGGCGATGGGAGGTCGCTCGTGATCTCCAGGGCGAGACCGAGCTTCCCGTGGGGGCCGATGAGGTTCCGAAACCGACTCCATCTGAATAGATGAAATTTAATTTCTTTGCTTCAAGCATTACTTCATGATGGCCTGTCTTCAAATTTGATAAACAAACTTTCAGGATACCATGTGGTTCACTTTCAATTGTACTTCTTTTCTTGGCCAGATCACTTTCAACCAATGATGTTAAATATTGAATCCATTCATCCCAATGGGCCCATCTAATTCAGCACAAGTTAGGGTTGCTTCTGCATAAAAGTAACGCATAGGTGTGGTGTAAAACAGAGGTATTTGTTTCCCTCACAATATGGATTCACCTGCAAGTACTTGGGAAATGTTAGATACAATTAAGGCTCAATTATATTGGCATTCTGAGAATTAACTTCTGCCTTGAATGACTTCAACTTGCAGGTCGCATCTCTGCTCAAATAGGGTCTCTTAAAATTAGAGGATGATTGTGACTTTCCCACCAGTCACGATTTCATTAGAGTCTCTTGATGAAACCAGGAGCACCGATGCAGGTCTTTTTATTAGTTGTCTAGATAGTGTCAGACATTCAAACAGCAAAAGCAGATTTTCTCTGGCAATCATTATCTATTGATTTAATGTATAACATGCCTAGCATAATGCTCATGCTTCCTTGCCATAACCTTAAGCAAACTAACTTCGATGAAACCTCTGCTAACCTCTGCCATGTGAAAGCGTCATCTTCGGATGCCGATTCGGTTCCTTCGTCCTCTTCGTCCGGGTCATCCTCCTCTTCGTGTTTGCGGTACAAAGGGTTTACGACCGGTTCTCTCATGGGGACCTCCACCCAAACCTGCAACACACGGCTCCGTGCTCGTTCCGCCCGCTCCCGTGGCGTTCGACTCAGCGAAGGAGAGGACTCACGGAATAGTTGGTGTTCGGGGTCTGGATCTTGGACAGGAGCATGCGGGCGAAGTTGACGCAATCGAGGGACTTGAGGCGGAACGTGACGGCCGGAAGACTGAGATGCGCTGCAAAATTCAGTTCTTGCTCCAGCATCAGCTCGTGGTTCCGCCGGATCCCGGAGTCGGACGAGTCCACGTTCAGGTACGGCGACAGTCGACCCACGACCAGAGATCCCCAATCTTTGATGGATGGGAAACGAATTCGAGGGCATCCTTCCTCCGTGCCGTGGAAGACCCGGTCGACGGGTGGATCGTGCGAGCGCCTCACCTCTGCTGTTGAGAACCAAGTCGGCCCTAGTGAACGGGATCTGCCCGGCGAGGGCGTGGCTGGACCTGGACCGGTACAGCTGGCGGCGGAGTCTCGGGTGGGATAGGTGGACGCAGATGAAGTCGTAACTGCGAGACGGGAAGGGAACGGTCGACATCATCACCGGCGTTGCCACACGAGGCCATCATCATAGGCCTCACCACATTCATACACCCTAACGCTAGTCCAGCTTCGCCCTACCTCAAGCGGGCCCAACACTAGGCAATGGCTAACGCTAACGCTGCCATACCTCTCTGAAGGTCGATGGTGAAGGCGACTCACCCGGACTTCTGGACGTCTTGAAGAGTCTCGTGAAGTTCGGCGGCCAGAGGAACTTCTCGACCCACGATGGACTTCCGACTCATCTTTCAGACTTACCGCTCGGGTCTCACAACCGGAAATCACAAGTTTGACTCCCTTCCACTTTCACCTCAACACCTAAAATATGCTAAATTTTAGTCATTTCGAAATTTTCCGCACGAGTCGGACCACGTTTCCCTCGACTTCGGCGCCTCGATTCGTTTCGTTCCACTCAAATCCGAATAAATTTTGGCTTATGACCGCCGCCCTCGGAGAGCGACGCCGTCACGAAATGCAAAGCTGGCGGAGTCGAGCGAAACTGAACCAAACCGCGCCGAAAAATAGAGCCTAGACCACGATCAGTCGGCAGCATGACTTCCGGCATTCCCCATGAGAGCCGCCATCTTGGAAATCGAGACTCGCTCGTCGTTGCACAGATGTCGCACGCGTCTGGAATCTCCTGCGCATCGACCTTCCCACGGGCCTCGAGCGAGAAAATCCCAAGAAAAAACGAGGAGAAGGAGGAAAATCGTGAAGCAGCCTCCGTTTCTCCCTCGAAACGGCCTCGACTCTCCCCGCCCCGGCCTCGACTCTCCCCGCCCGAGTCGGATTCGCCGGGAAGAATTCGCCGTCACGCGATGACTCGGCGGAAAGGCGCCGGACTCCCTCGGCCTCTCAGAAAAGAGGGAAGAAGACGGACGGACGGACGCACGTGTGCTTATTCCTCGCATAAGGGCCTGTATTTACGCGCAAGGGTGCGTGAACGAGGGGGGGGGCGAGGGGGGGCGAGGGGGAAGACCTTGGGACGGAGCTATCTCGAGTGCAGTGTGCACACTCTTCGTTCGACAGGGACTTTGATCTTTCTGTGCTGAGTCGGACGGAGACCGGATCCCTCCCGGATCACTCCCGGCTTATCTCCCCCTTTTCGCGTTCGGGACTCGCAGTGGAAACATGGCAGCGAGGCTTCACGTCTTCGTCGTCTTCTTGGTCCTCGGTGAGTCCAATTCACTCGCCCCCCCTCATCCCCCCTCACCCCGCCGATCCCCGGATCCCCGCCCCGCTAACGATGCACGTGTTTCAGGTTCCCAATCCCATCACCAGGCCGCCCCCGGTAAGAAAAAAAGCATCGCTTGAGGCGCGGCAATAATTCGTTAAAAAAAATGCAGGCTTGTCGGTCAATGTCGGTCGTCGAACTTGAAAAGTGACAGTGCAAGGGGGGAAAAAAAAAAAAAAGTCCCGCAATCGCCCGATGCCA